TTTTTTTTTTTTTTTGGTAAAAATTTTTTTTTTTATATAAAAATATATTTAATGCCTTAAAAATATGAAACGCATTATGCCGTTTATTCTTCGCATTGACACGCCTAAACTTGTGATTCTTGATTCTCGGCCTCGACGCTTCGCTACGCAATACGCATTTTAGAACACTGTTTTAAATAGACCAAAATTAATTGTTCATGAAAAAGGAAATGAATATTGAGTAAGGGGTTAAGAGGAATAAAATATAATTTTAAGGTTTAGTTTTCAATTACGAGAAGTTACTTACTAAATGTTTTATAAAATAGAAAATGGGGGATTTGATTGCAATTTTAACTTAATGGAACACTAAATAACACTGTATGGAACCTATTTTTATTTTATACAAACAAAACCCTAAACCATTGATACAGAGAGGGAAAGAAGGAAAAAAAGAAGAGTGGGAGAAGAAAAAGTAGGGAAACCCTAACGCCACCGCCTTCCTCCACCATCTCGATGGCGGCGCTAGGTTTACAGAGAGCAAAAACGGGAATGAAGAAAAGGGAAAGGAAAAAAAAAAGGAAAAAGAAAAAGGAAGAAGCAAAAACGGTGAAGTCTCTGGTTGAAAATTGGAGGATCCGACACATATTCAACACCCATACTCGTGTCGTGTCGACACGGGTACTTCGTCCATTTCGAAGAGTCCGAGCATCAGAGATTGTAACAAAAGAGGAAAAATAAAATGGAACATATAATAAATTGAATTAGATGATGTATTCAAAGCTGAGTTAATTTGGAGATGAATCCTTCGACCGATGTTTTCTTGTCCAGTGCATGAGCATCAAGAAGCAATTTGGCTAGAGCAAAAACTTTTGGGCTTCTCACCTCTCAGTTCTTTTTCATTTTCCCCTTTTCCTCTTAAAGTTCAGAATTTTGTGATGCTTAATTAGATTCTTGACTACTATATTGATAATTTCAGTCCTTGAGCGTAGAGTGTCTGATATATGGGTTTGGAACAGATGAAACTGTATTGCTCAAGCTCGAGCTTGAATTTTGAGTGTGTTGGATTTTTTTTGGCTGAGCACATGAATAAAATTTAAATTTTCTACTCCGTGTTTCTTCTCTCATGTACTTGTTTCAGCTGTGTGCCATAGCTGATATTTTTGCAAAATAAAATAATCAGCATTGGTTCCCACACAACACATTTCACCCTGTGTAGATCGCCAGATCATAAGCCTTCTCGTGGACTATATGGAATGTTCTTTCTCGATAGCATTCAAACAGAGCATACTTGGCATGTTATTTAGTTCCACGTTGAAGGTGTCTTCAATAAGTTTGTCTGCTTCTTGGCATAAGATATTCATTTGATGTCAGCACATGTTCATGCTTCTTGTCATGTATCAACATTATGGTCGAAATTTTTAGACATTTTTCCTTCGATTAATAATCACTAGGAGAGAGCTGTCAAGAGGGTTGCATTCTTATTTGCTTGTATCTTGTTGTAGGTCTTTGCTGCATTTGTTTCCGCTTCAATCAAATTCCGGATCTCAAGCATCCTCTCCGCTACAGATAAGGATGCTGATGAAAACATTCTCAAGTACAATTTTGGGACAATATTAAAAGAAACAATGCTAAACTTAGGCCCCACTTTTATTAAAGGTAAGTAATACTGTTTGTAATGACTAATGATGTGTAATACAATTCAGGAAAACACAATAACTGGAGAGATTGTTCTGTTATATGTAGTTTATTTGAATTATTTCTCCGTATTATCATTATATGTAGATGTTTTGAATTGTTCCTCAGTATTATCATCTTAGTCATCACCAACTTTCTTTATGTTTGCGTTTGCTCCCATGCAGTTGGTCAGTCCCTTTCCACAAGGCCAGATATAATTGGTTCTGAAATTTCTAAGGTAAGATTTATTTGCATATCGTTGTTTCATTTTACATTGAGTTGCTCCTTGATTATCAAGTCATATATGGATATTGAGATGGACTGTAGTCTTGTCACTAATGGATAAAAAATGTACAAACTCAAGACTTTTGGCTTAAACATGGATTCTAGGTTTCGATATTTGAGATCTGCAGTTCTCCAGAACTTCCAGTACTGCAAAGTTGAACGTGTGATCATTTGTTTTCCCTCGTTATTGCCTCAATCTTGATGTGTCACCATCCATCATTTGTGATTAATGGACCACAACTTAAGCATCGCCAATGTTAACCATTTTGCAGTTATTACCTATGAGTCCATTGATGATAAATTTAACAACCCCCCCCCCCCCCCCCAACCACCATATAAAAGGTAGGCACACAGATAAATATTCTCCCTTACAAAAAGGCATGTACACGGAGAACTCAAGGTCATATATAAGCAAGAACAGAAAGTAAAGTTACTAGGTAGTAGGTAGTGTACACAAGCCTATCATGACCTGCATTTGAATAACACCATTGGAGTAAAGTTTATTTATGTAGACTTTTGCGATCTTACTAGATTAATTAAAGTTCCGGGAGAAGTATAAACCAAATATATCTGAAGTTACAAGTGTACTAATGAGAGTTCTGTCTTATGTATATGCGGCATGAAGAAAGGCATTGAAAAAGACTACATACCTCAATTGTTGGAAGTTAAAGTGTGCACTTCAATTCTAGGGCAAAGTTTTATATTAAACTGAAGCAATCCTATTAACGCAGCTATTAGTCATCTTATTCTGCTAGATTGAGTAGCTGATTGTTTATCCTTTGTGGTTAATGCAGACTAGATGCAATGCATGAATCATATTTTATTTTTCATTTTCTGGTTTAAGTGATGATTGCAGGCTTTATCTGAGCTGCATGATCAAGTCCCTCCTTTTCCAAGGGCTGAGGCCATGAAGATTTTCGAGGAAGAATTTGGTTCTCCCGTGGAGAAATTCTTTAGCTATATCTCTGAGGAACCTGTAGCTGCAGCTTCATTTGGGCAGGTGTGAAATGTTTCCGTCTGTTGTAATAGGCTCTAGAATGTATCCAACATATGATAAGTCAAAATTGGATTGTGCAGAAGAGGAAAATATGAAAATTAAATAGACATAAGATGTCACTGTTATAAACTGTGTTAGTCTTATCACTAATCTGCTGATGCATTTTGTTGACATTCTTAATAGGTATACAAGGGAAGCACATGTGATGGATTTGATGTTGCTGTGAAAGTCCAGCGTCCTAACTTACATCATGTAGTTGTTCGAGATATTTATATTCTTCGGATTGGGGTTTGTCTGAAACTCTACCATATATAGTCTGTCCTTCGAATAGGCAGAGTGCTAAACTTTAAGGAAATTGTTTCAGCTGGGAATACTGCAAAAGATTTTAAAAAGAAAAAGTGACCTTCAATTGTATGCTGATGAACTTGGAAAAGGATTAGTCGGGGAGTTAGATTACAACTTGGAGGCTGCCAATGCCATAGAATTCATGGTAATTTTTATGTTCTAAACTTTAATTAGTTTTTTCCATGGACCATCATGCATCAACTCCCCTTCCCCAATGCTCTCTCTCTCTCTCTCTCTCTCAATTCCAAGTATATGTTAAAGAGATTCAGATAAATAAGACAGAAAGAGAATTTCCATGTATTCATATTGAACTAGAAATCAGTCTGAATTTTGAAACTATGTTAAATTTTGAACTGCAATACTTTAAACAAGTGCAAAAAAATAATTGCCATTCACAAAAACTTTGGTTCCTCAATTGCTCGACATGATCATCATACTGACTAAGCAAAACACCCGACAATCATCTGTTGGCTCATTTCATATGTATCTCATTCGTTTTCACTTTTCTGTTCAGAAAACACCATATGATGCTAAATGTTCCATACTTCCATCATTTATTTTTATCAACGTCACAGTGATGATTACTGTGCATGAAATTGAACATGAGTAGGGTTTGTGTAGTTATCTGAGTGACAAACACTCAATTCTTCGGTTTCCTGTCTGGTAGAGAAAAATTAAGTCCTTGAATGTAATTTGACCTTTGTTTTTCCACTTTCTGGTGATCAATAGTGAGGTAAGTAGTGGTTGTATTGATCCCTTATGGTACAGCTCCATTCTATGAATGTATCACACGGATGGAAAATAATTTGCAATTTGGTTGTGTAGTTAATATTTAACGAGATTTACCTATATATAATTGAGTTATCCGCGTAGTGTATCTGATGAAAGTATGTGACAAGGGTAGATATGGTTTTATCAACATAAGCCGTTTCTTCAATAGACATGAATTTTTGTCTTTCGGGTGATGATGCACCAAGTTTCACGGGTTACCTTTCTTCTTAGCACAGAAAGGAACACCGTGCAGCAGTAGTCTGCTCCGCTAGACTACCTTCCGCCTTCTTTCGGTCGTTTCGGGACAAAAGGAAATTTGATTACAATTTAAAGAAAGCTTGCAACATGAAATTAAAATGCATTGAACATAACTTGATCATTGATTACTTAAAAGCTAGAAATCACAATAGACGAAAGCAGGGAATTACAATGGCTAGTGCGGGGAGCGCACACTAGAAAGTTTGAAAGATGTTTGAAAGACTAATACCCCCTATAATAGATTTAGCAACAAAAATCAAACTGACGGGAGTAGACGTTTAAATGCTGAAGAATCATACTAAATTTTTCTAATTTCTATTTATTTTACAATTTAAATAAACTATTACAATGTGCGGTCGAAGTTGGGCAAACTACGGCTGCGATAGGGTTCCGAGGCTTAAGTAAAGCTGCGGTCCGTGACACCAAGTGCAGGTCTTACGTATTTTTGGGCCCGTTTGGCATGACTTTTGCTTTTGCTTTATGTAGAAGAGCTTTTGGATGAAGTTACTTTAATATTTGTTTGAAAACTAATTTTTAATAGCACTTCCAATTCCAGAAGTGCTTTTAGAGGATGTCACATTGGACCAACTTTCTCTAAAAATTCTTTAACTAGAAGAAACACTTTTTTAAAATTAGTCAAACGGGTCCAAAAGCTGCTTTTTGGTATTAAAAGCTCATTTTCATTTTTTAAAAGCTATGTCAAATGGTCCTTAATTCGCTCTAATAAATGCAATTCCTTTGACAAGCATATTCATTCACCTGCAGGAAGTTCATTCTCACTTTCCGTTTATTTGTGCTCCAAAAGTATTTCGACATTTGAGTAAAAAGAGAGTTCTGACTATGGAGTGGATGGTTGGTGACAGTCCAAGCGACTTGCTATTAAAATCTTCTGAGGAGTCTAAAGCAAAGCTTCTTGATTTGGTATGTAGAATATATCAATTTGACCTTATGCTACTGCATTTTAAATAAAATGTGAGAATATATTGCAAGTCTAATCGAGATGTTATTTAAGTGCTTGAATCTCTATTTGGTCATTAACATTTTCACACGAAACATTTATCCGTTATCTTTCATGCTTTGGGTCAAATTGTAAACTAGAAGCAATGAGACCACAGGTACACACATTCATGCAAAAGTGACGTGAGAGTGGAACTCAAAATATTTCTCACAACATATCTTCTTGATTTGGTATGTAGAATATATCAATTTGACCTTATGCTACTGCATTTTAAATAAAATGTGAGAATATATTGCAAGTCTAATCGAGATGTTATTTAAGTGCTTGAATCTCTATTTGGTCATTAACATTTTCACACGAAACATCTATCCGTTATCTTTCATGGTTTGGGTCAAATTGTAAACTAGAAGCAATGAGACCACAGGTACACCACACATTCATGCAAAAGTGACGTGAGAGTGGAACTGGAACTCAAAATATTTCTCACAACATATCCTAGAGTTATAATGTCGTGCAACATCTTGGCAGTTCTTAGTAATAAAACAAGCCCATGTTAGAAGGATATGGAAATGAGCCGATTTTGTTTCCTTCCGCGTCTCTTTTTTAGAGCAACTGATACATGAATTGTCTGACTTCATAAAATTATCATATTTTGTCCTGTGCTTTACCTATTACCTAGTGCAAACATTACTAAACTGAAGGTTGAGGACCAAGCCACAAGATTTGCATTACTTGAGGACCAAAAGCACTGTGTTATTTAACTTTAGAAGATTGGTAATAATTGGAAGTCGAGGGTCTGCTATAACAAAGGGAAAGAGTGATATATTTGGAGTGGGCATGTTTCAAATGTCAGAGAAGGGATCGTGCCCAGATCACTAATGGTGGATGTAATTTAGGTGGAGACGTTTGTCGGACAAATTATTGTAACATGCAAATTTATATTTATGTGATTCGCTATTATCGAATATTGGAAATAGAAGCATTCTGGAACAAGCTAGTCCAATTATATATGCTTGAAAAACAATTTCGTTGCACTCTATGCATTAATTCTTCTGCCTCAACTACTGTAGGTTAAAAAAGGAGTACAGGCATCGTTGATTCAACTCCTTGAGACTGGCCTATTGCATGCTGATCCTCATCCTGGAAATTTACGTTATACATCATCTGGACAAATAGGGTAAAACTCACTTTTGCTATTTCTTCCATTGATTAAAGCTAGCAGATCCTGCTGTGATCCTTGACTACAGTTTGCAAATTAAATTTGATAGTTTGACATGAATATCTGACATATATATGGTTCATGTTCATCTCTCTATTGTTGTAGGTTTCTTGATTTTGGTTTGATTTGTCGGATGGAAAAAAAGCATCAGTTTGCCATGCTTGCTTCCATTGTGCACATAGTAAATGGAGATTGGGCGTCCCTTGTGAATGATCTGACTGAAATGGACGTTGTAAGACCTGGGACTAACATCCGACTTGTCACCATGGTAGTATCCATGTCTCGTACTATTTATCCTTGTGAAAGTCTTTTTCTTCTGTTGTGACTTTGATTTGGACAGATAAGCAGATCCAGGCATTTAGTTAATTGCTAGGAATGTGATTATTAAAAGTAATGGTTTATCTTCTGATATTGCTTGAGTAACTGACATTTCATTGAAATTATTCAGGACCTGGAAGATGTTTTGGGCGAAGTGGAATTTAAAAATGGAATCCCTGACATCAAGTTTAGTAAAGTGAGAATCATATTATTACTTTTTATCCATGAATCATTGTAGCTCTGAGGCAATCTATTGATTCAGTCATTCAGATACTTAGTTCAACTTCATAACCATGAAGTATCATTCTTTATTTGATTGTTGAATGATGTCCTCAACGCTTAGGGTTTGAGCCCCATTTTTTGAAAAAAATAGATTTTTTTTATAGTGGTTTTTAGAGAATGTGTGGTTAAAAAAGGAAAAATTTTGGGTTTACATGTAAAAATATTTTATTTGGAGAATGTGTGGTTAAAAATAAGTTTGGACCAAAACAAGTTTTTAAAGAATGGAGCTCAAAAAGGGGCTTAAACAAATCTATTTTATGTGTGATTTGTTTTTGGACTAACACGTGGCTGGTTTTTGAATGCCATGTGAAAGAGAGTTGAGCAAAACCAGAGAGCTGCATCTAATGACTGAATATGCAAGACTTGCTAATTTTATTTCTTCGAATAGCTGGCTGATTGTCAAAATACTTCTTGTGAAGGTTCTGGGTAAAATATGGTCTGTTGCAATCAAATACCATTTCCGTATGCCACCATACTATACCCTAGTATTGCGGTCTCTCGCGTCTCTAGAAGGTAAATCCTCATGCCATTCTCTACATTGAAAGAACTATCCTTATGCACTGCTTCACAGATCTTGCCTTTCACTGTCTGCATGTTTGCGTCTCTTTTCTTTTCATTTACGTATATTATTTATTAGGTCTTGGAAGATGACAATGTTATTAATGCTTACATGTCCACAAAACATAAAATGAATCTCATATGAACACTAAACTTTGGACTGTTACATAAATAACATGCCTTGTTGAGCTCATTAGTTGTCTCTTTTTTGGTTGACTTGTATGGATACCTTATAATGTTTCCTTTGGATAGAACTCCTTGCCAATTGATCCGAGAGTTCACTATCTGTGGAATTGGTCAATTTGGAGGCTATATGATAATGTGGCATGTGGGTTTCTAAAGCACACAATAAATAGAGGTTCTAATTAGCTTTCGAAACAATGAAAATCCTCAACCAGTTGGTAGGACATGGCTTAACTGAATCCAATTTTATAAACTAATCTAGGAATGCTAAATACAACAATCAGAAGCATGCAATATGATATTATGATTAATGTTCTCCTAAAGTGCAACAGGCTGGTGTAGAAAATTTAACCGGTGAAAGATTACTTTGTACATTATTGGTTAGGGCTGGACATGGTCCATGAGAATCGTACCGAATCGAACCCGAATTTTCTTTAGAATCGAACCGAATGGAACCCGAATTTTCGGGTATTTAGTAAATGGAATCATTGGATCCAAATTTAATTATGGAACCATTCGGGTTCGGTTCCATTCAGTTCGGTTCGATTTGGTTCTATTTGGTTCCCGGGATCAGTACAATAATTAATTTTTTTTTAAATTTACAACAACACTACATTAATTTGACTATGACATATTTAATCTTAACTCTTATAAAATAATGTAGTCCAATCCGTGATATCTTTTGCGTCTCTCTTTGTTGAATTTTTCATAGAATTGACTTTAAAATCACAGGAAGAGGAAGGTAGCAAGTTCACAATAATAGAACAGCGGAAACAACACTACGGTAGAATAAGAGATTTGGATAAAATTTAGGTCAATTTGATTAAGTTGGGCTTGGTTGGAAAATTAAAAATAGTAAAATCATATATTGGGTTTGGACTAAATTAATTAGTTAGCAAATTTATTTTTAAAAAAATAAAGTAATTCGACTTATTTAAGATAAAAAAAAAAGTTAAAAAATTTAGTGAGATTCGATTCTTATTCGGTTATTTGATTCTTAGTATAGAATCGAACCAAATTCGTCGGTTCTGGATTCAGATACCCGTTCAGGTATTTAAATTAAGAAGAATTGCTCAGTTTGATTCGGATCTGGTTCGTTTCGGAAGTTTTGTGCAACCCTATTATTGATAAAGATAAGATTTTACATAACATGTGCCTCGTGTATAACAGCTTAACCTTTTAAATGGGGGTGATTAACATGGCATCAAAGCCATTCAAGTCTCACCGCTCCCTATTTATGAAAAATTGAGCACGAGTTGGACCTTCAATAAAACATGAATCTGGTGTGCATGTGAAAGAGCTTGCTGAAAACTAAATTTAATTGAATCTATGCATACCGTGTTACACATTTTGCTTTCTGCTTTTAGATGAGATTGTTAACAACATTGTTGAGGATTATACTTATATTTATAAATGTGTCTCCTCTCTAATAGCTTAAGTTTTATAGTGTCTAACACGGTATCAAAGCCGGTTTGAAAAAATCTTCCCATGTGAGCAATGTTTTGTGATTGAGTTGATTCTTCTTAGGGATTTATGATAAACAATGCTGATAGTTAAAACTAACATTTTTTTGTTTCATAAGAAAATTCTAAATATAGTCTTGCAATTCTTCATTCTGGAAAAATAGATGCCTTGACTGAACAGCTTATACCTGCTTCTTTTTTGCTTTATTGTTCCTTCTCCATATCACATTCTGACCTCCCACTGTGAACGCTTACCAGATTCCTTCAAATATTTCTCAGGATTGGCTGTAGCTGCAGATCCAACTTTTAAGACCTTTGAAGCTGCTTACCCTTTTGTTGTTCAGAAGCTTCTCGTTGACAACTCTGCTGCTTCAAGGAGAATTTTGCATTCGGTGGTTACTCTTTAGATGATAGATTATTTTACCGTATCATGCTGTCTTTGCTCTTAGTTATCTCGTTAACCTTTACCTGTCTTACTCTTTCCTTTTCTCCTATTCTGTAAGTAATATGGGATAGTAGGAACCTTCAAAATGACTTGGACAATGAAAATAATGACATCGATATTTTGGGTGATGTTCCACAATAATTTTTACTTTTGAATTGGCATGTGTTGCAACTGTCACTTGGTTTTTTACTAAGTTGCTTATAAGCTTGTAAGCTTGGACATAATCTAGGAATGATTTCAATACCTAATGCCTATATCATGATGAGGCCAATTTCTAACTCTTTCACTCTTTTGTGTCTTTCTTTTACTCGTGTTTTTAGGGAAGTTATTTCTATAGTTGTCTGTATTTTTGTAAACATATTCTGTATTATCCTTAATGCTATCTCATCACAACCTGATTTTTTGGCTATTAACCTCTCAAGGTTCTCAGAAAAATGCTATTAATATTATGGGAATTCGGAGTTGATTCTTTTTTTTTTTTCACGTGTTCTATCAGGTTGTGTTGAACAGAAGGAAAGAGTTCCAGTTGCAAAAGCTTTACCTTTTCTTAAGAATTGGAGCAACTTGGTATGTTACTACTATCTTTTCCTCTTAAACTGTGTTTGGAGCCAAAATTTTCTTTAGAGTTGGAGCAGCTTGCCACGCTACCACTTTTTTCTTCTTAAATTTTGGGTTTGGAGCAATTGCATTTTTATGCTTCACTGTTGGCAATTTCCCATAAGAATTGCGTCATAATTTTCCCTTTTTCTGTTCCTCAAAAAAAGTGACTTGTTTATTTGGTGATTGGTGATTGTTTTTTTCCCAGTGCTTTTATCTAGAATTAATTCTAGTGTCTGATTTCTAGGGAAGGGTTGCATTCGTTGACACCATCAGATGCTCAGGCTTCATTTGATCAGCCTGCAAATGCAGTTCCCCGTGGAGTTGATCTTGCAAACCTGGTTTTGAAACTTCTACCATCTAAAAATGGCACTGTCTTGAGAAGACTTTTAATGACTGCAGTGAGTTATTTTCAGCTTACATTAGTAACCAAGTTTCCTATGTCAACTGAATAAATAACTGTTGTTGCCTGTTTGGGTCTAGTTGCATGGTTAGTTTTTCTACTTACTTCATGGTAATGGTAATGATGTTAGCATAAGCCAAAACCTACTAAAGATAATTTTCTTAAGAGCTTGGTTGGACAGTTTATTTATTGGATATTTTACTGTTACCATTTTATTTTATTTTATTTTTGTCTGATAATATATGGGTATTCAGGAAATTCATAGGATGGTTGACCCTGATAAGTGAAAACCATCTCTCCTTGGTTTTGTTCTATCTGTCAATTGGAAGTTTCACCGAGTGCACATCTGAATATGTACATGTGATTTTCTTAAATGCATATGTAATAAAGTTCATACTCCACTGATCAACTCCTACATAAGAATTGTAATATGTTGTAAGTTGACATAAAACATACTAAACCTATAGGGCATACTACTAACTTACTGTTTTAAGCATGACTGAATATACACTTTGATAAACAGGACGGAGCTTCATTAGTTCGAACAGTGGTTTCGAAGGAGGCAAGCTTCTTCCGCCAAGAAATTTGTTTTGTTGTTGCCGATATATTGTACCAGTGGATGACCGCAGCCTTGGGAAAAGTTTTTCACATAACCCAATTTAGTTCCCAAGTGGTGTTGGCCAGCGCTGCCAAAAACACACAGATAGGTCCTTCTATGATATTCACATCAAGCGTCGATTATCAGGCCTTCCTGAGAGATCGGCGATTAAAAATCATTGCATTGAAGGCATTACATTCTGCAAGGAAAGATCCTGTATTAATGCTGAGATTCTGCTGGACTTCGTTTGTCATGTTTATCAGGGCAACAGCTTTGGCTTGTCATCGCGTGTTGGTCTCCCTTAGTGAGGCTTACTTGGATCGTGTATCCTATCCTCGTAAGCTAATTACTGTTGTGGCTTAATGTATGTTTTCTGTTGGTTTGAGGACTTGTGGTGACGCTGATAGGCTGGATGGAATTAATTTTACCGAAGATGATTTAGATGAAAAGTGGTATACTAGGTTTGAGTAGAATTTTTTTCAACTGGGACTGTATTCTATCATAGAACGTGCAATAACCTTTGACTGGGAAGGACCCAATCCCATGAATGTGTATATCTTTCTATATATAAAAAGTGTCTATTTAACGGAATTTGTTGGTTTAACGGAAAAACTAACGGGATTTGTTGTTTTAACGGACTATGTAACAGAAGTTTTTGTTTTAAACAGACAGCTGCACATTCTTTTAGTATTTTTATCATAACTTTGTATTTCGATATCCGATTAAGGCGATTCAAAATGAGTTGGAAAGCTAACTCATCTGGCTACAATTTTGATTCAGACATTATTCTCTAATTTGATCACTTTCTATGCCAAAAATATGTCTCAATATAACGGACTATGTAACAGAATTTCTTATTTTNGTACTGAAATTTCTTGTTTTAAACAAGCAGTTGCACCTTCTTTCAATGTTTTTATTATAATTTTGTATTCTGATATCCGATTGAGACGATTCAAAATGAGTTGGAAAGCTAACTCATCTGACTACAATTTTAATTCAGATATTATTCTCCAATTCTATCACTTTCTATGCTAAAAATATGTCTCAATATAATGGATTATGTAACAGAATTTCTAATTTTAAATAGGCAGCTGCACCTTCCTTCAGTGTTTTTATCATAACTTTGTATTCCGATATCCGATTGAGGCAACTCAAAATGCGTTGGAAAGCTAACTCATCTGGCTACAACTTTGATTTGGACATCATTCTCCAATTCGATCACTTTCTATGCCAAAAATAGGTCTCAATATGAGACTAAAATATCGGAACATAACTTTTTGGTTGGAAATTAATTTGTGATCATCTTTTGACAAAATTTAATTCCATTGACATCTTCTTTTATCCAATTGACTCCGAACACTCTCAAATCTTCATCGTGAGGTTCCGCACAACTTTTAAGTATTTACATTTTAGTCCCTGAACTTTGGATCACTTATAATTTAGCCATTTCTCCAAATTTATCAACTTTTGCTTATTTTCTTCGATCTCACCAACTTATATCACAACATCAAAATCACACATCTAATTATTTATCAATTACATAAACATTACATCATTAATTATTTAATTAACCAAAAAATTTACATCTTTATTAATAACAAATTAATTCTTAAACAAAACTATTAAATATAAACTAGGCAAACGTGTATTGCACGTTGCTTGCACCTAGTATATGTATAGTATGTGTAATTTTTGTGTTAAATAATCTCATTAGTTGCTTATACGATGCCAACATTATATTTAACTTATTTTTGCCTCTTCATATTATTACCAATTTGGCTGCTATATGATGCGAACTATCCTTTCATATAGCTTGATGGGTATGTTTTATATTACCCACCATGGGTAGATCATTTATCCAATATATAATGTCGTTTGTGTGGTTTCTGGTATAACACCCCCCCCCCCCCCCCCCTGGTCCGTTTGATTGTAAAGTTGGAAAATGGGTGAGAAGAAAATGAATTCCAGTGAATTGAATTGTCTAGAAATTATTTTATTGTGAATTGTAATTAATTGTGTTTGATTGATAACATTGTCCACCTGAAAAATGTGGAAAGTTTGGTGTTCGTTTGACTTTTTTTTTCATGAAAATTGTGTATTAAAATGATAATTTTTTCTATCATTGAGTCTAGAATTCGTTCTAATTGTCAAAAAATTACAATTTTGTTTTACTATACCGAATATCATTTGTTTAGCTTTGTTTTGTATGGAAATTGTCAATAAAATAATTTTTTTACCATTGTATCTAGAATTTTTTCTATATTGCCAAAAAAAAAAAAAAACATGGAAAACCATTTTCTCACTTCAAGGAAAAGCAAGAAAATGTGAGTGTGTGAGGAAAAGTGAGAAAAACATTTGCCTAGAAACAAAACCTATCAAACAAAGGAAAAGTGGGAAAATGGAAAACAAATTCCATTTTCCATGGAATTGGCTCCCTATCAACTGCACCCTAAGTAACAAGAAAAATGGGCGAAGAGCTCACGATGATGTTTTTGAGTAGGAGAGCACATGCTAGTCTTTTATAGCTCCGATGTCTATTTTCTTTTCTGACGATGGCTTTTTGGGAAGAATGTTATCCTCGCACATTAGGGCCCTCCACATCACTACTTATATCGGTAACCACACCTTCAAAGTCTTCTTCGATACATGTTCATCGGTATTTAGGCATGCTTAGTAGATGTAAATATAATTATGTATTTAATAGTTATAAATATAGGGAAAAATAAGAAGACAATAAAACAAATAAAGTCCGTGGTTTAGTGAAAAATAGATTATTTAAATTTGAGTCAAAATTAATAATTACTCACTTTTTTCTTTAAGATAGATTTACTTCGATTTTGACTCAGATTAAGAAAATGTAATTAATATAGTTAGAATTATAAATTTAAGTAATTAACACATAACGTCTCTACCTTTCATCATTATCATTATTGTAGAAAATATTTTTGCTTTTCATTTTTTTAACATTCACACCCTTAATTACACATTTGATTGTACAAAACATCATTTCTATCAAATTTCTCAATAAAAAACTATAAAATGATGAATATACCTTTTATAAAACAAAATAATAAAGTAAAATAAAATAAAAAATTAATTGCAAATATAGTCCCAAAATTTTTAAAAAAATTAAAAGAATCCCAAATAAATTATAAAAAAAAATCTTTCTCTCTCGCCTTCTTCTTCCTCCTCCTCCTGCTTACTATCCAAAAGTGTCAACTGATAACTCTCTGCCAATGAAATTATTCCTTATGATTGGGAAAAACAAATAGTCTCCTCTGAAAAAATCCAATTGTGCTTTCAATTGTGATGGCAGTGAAATTTTAGTGTTTCCTAACCCTGAAACCCATTTTGCACCATTAGCAAGGCCTTTTAGTAACATTTTTGATGCACACGAAAACAAAAAGTTATCAATGGAAGCCATAAAACCTGAATTTTCCCCATCCTCAAACTCTATAAAAAAATTTGTCTTCTGCCAAATTTCCTAATGTAACCATTCTTGAAACTGGCTTTTCTAATTGAAAACTACAATTCTTGGTGCCAAAAAGACATGGTACAACCACTGGATTTTGCCATTGAACACTCAAGTGAACCACGTTTTTTGAATTTTTGAGATTTAGACAGAGGGTTAGAAACACAATCAACCCACAAAAAATGGACCATTAATATCAAGAACAAGCTTAAAAGGGGCAAGTTTTTCACCCAAGAAAACTCGATTTACATAATGAAGAGTTTAAAAGGATATTTTGACACTGGAATAATAGTAGCTTTTGGTAATATGAGTTCTTGAGAAAATGAGAAACTAAAGAGGAAAACGAATGAAAAGACAAGAAAAATTGTACAGAGCAAGTGATGGAAGAAAAAAACTGTTGAGAGGAAGACAGGTAGATCTGAATGCTATTTTCTTGTGTTTGTGGCGGAGGGCTGTCGCGGGTGGGACGAAGGAGTGAGTCGAGTGACCCTTTGATTTCCCGCAAGTCCTAGTTTCCTAAAAGTAGACAAAGGTATTAAGTTTACACTTGCAACTGTATCATATAAAGCATTAAAATGAAATCATTTGCTTAGTGAAATAGGTAAAGTGGGACTCTCTGGATCCTTGAGTTTTGGTGGCAATTTATTTTACAGTCTTGTACTTTTCTTCTCGGTCGATGCCACTTCTTCCCAGTATGGAAGATTTCTTTTTATTAGATATCATGTCATTCAGGAATTTTACATACATCAGGATCTTTCTGATTGTATCGATGAATGTGATGTTGATGTGGAGCTTTTTAGCATATCTAGGAACTTCTCGAATTGATTATTGAGATTTCTCTTTTGCGGTCTTTGTGGAAAATGTAGTAGTGGCACAAATTCTTTAATAGGAGCGGTTTCCTCTACCTTTGGATCATCTGGTGCTTAGTCTGTCTCTGCTTCGTTGTTCTGCTCAAACTTATTCAATTGTTCCTCAATTGTGGTATGTACTTTTTCTTTTGTAGCAACTGGTCTCTTTACATTAATCTCTGGCAGTTGAACTCCACTACGGGTAGTTATTGCCTCAATCTGCTCTTCCTCCACGACCTTCATTGTCATTACCTAATGTCTGGGATTTGTCTCAGTATCACTGGACAATACTCCTAGTAGTCTCTCTGAAAGTGTTTTAACTATTTGTCCCATCTAATTTTCCCAGTTCATGAGGGCAGCTCCACGAACTTGCAAGGTTTTATCTATTTTTTGCATGTGTTGGATAGATATCTCCGCCAATTTAGTAACAATATCTTCAAACGAAAACTTATTTTCAATAGTCAAAAACCTCTTGGTGTAGTCTGTTGTGAGGAAATTTGAGCTCCATGATTGTTGTCGTAGCGACCGAGAACTTTTAAATG